AAAAAAAAAAAAATGCTCATTCTCTACTAAGAAACAAAATGTAAATAGACAAACATCATTTGTTGATTTGGGAATTGTTGGTCTCGTTGCATTAGCTTGAAGTTCTTTTATTTTTCTAAATAAAAAAGTTTTGAAAAATAAAAAAATAAGATGAATATGAATGATAACAAACTTTCTAACAATTGATGCTTCTCCTTTTGGATAAAACGACCAATCATAATTAACTTCTCCACTAGTTAAGATATTTTTTAAAATAATATATTCTCCTGATTTTGATGATGTTGATATTGATGATAATAATGAATCTAATTGATCTTTTTCATCATCACGTATTCCACCATCTTATATTAATAAAAAAAGAATTTATTTAAATAAATATAATGTAAATTAATAAAATACCATGTTTTAATCGAAGAAGAAGATCAGGTTTTTTATATGTTCTTGCCGCTAATAAATGAACAAGACGTTCTCTTAACAAACAATAACATAAGGAAATTTTTTTTATTTAAGAAAAAAAAAACCTTAATGGTCTTTCTGAAGATAATAATTGATTATTAGCATTTGTATTTGGACTAAGATGTTGATCACGATTATTTGTTGTTCTTTGTTGTTGTTGTTGTTTCTGAGTATTTGTTGTTGTTGTTGTTGTTGATGATGGACGTTGATTTGATGATTTATGAGTTTTTTTTTGTAAAATTGTTTGTGAACTTTCACCTATTTCTTTGGTTCTATTTATAAAACCAATAAATAAATGAAAAAAAAAAAAAAAATAAAAGAACGAACTGTTTTTTTGTTTGTTCTTCATTTCTTTGAAATTCAGTTACTTTTGTTTTGGTCATACTATAAACATCTTCTTGTGCATGAATATTAAGTCTTTGTTCAATAAGAGCACAACTTTCAAGTTGACTAGTTTTATTTAATTAAATATATATATATATATGTATTTAATAGAATAGAAGAAGATAAAAATCATACTCTCGATTAATTTGTTTAATACATTGAAATACTTCAGGTGTTTTATCTTCAGGTGATATATTAAATGAATATGTTTTTCTTTCACCATTTGTTGTTGGAATTGATATATCCTATTTATAAATAAAATAATATATATGTTAAGAAAATAACAAAATAAAAAAAATCAATTCTTACTCCTCCATTAGGATTAAATTTAATAATTGGTTTATTATTTGAATATTGTTTTTTATTTAATTTAATATAAGTTTCAATTGTTTTCATACATGAATCAGTTAATTTAACAAAAACATGTAATTTTCCATCATTTGAACATGCTGCATCTTCATTTAACCAAAATTTATGATTTCCAGGTAGATTTCTATCCATTTATATTAGACTTTAGTCTTATTCGCCTTCTTCTTTTTTTTTCTAATATTTATATTAATTATTAATCTTAAACAAATATTTATTAGAATTATTTAATTGAATAAGAAAATAAATTTATTATCTCATTTCATATACTTATATATATCTATCAAATGGGAAATTCTACACTTAATTAACATAGAAAAATATATTTAACTAATTTATCTTATTGAAAATGTTAATTAATTATAATTTAAATATATTATATTTATTATTAATTATTTTCATTAAATAATCAATATCAATATTATTTATTAAAAACACAACAAAAACTTTTTTTATTATTAAATTATCTTTGTCAAATCGAACTTTTTCTATAAGAAAAATAAAAGATTGAATATAAAATAATGTCGAAGTTAAATAAAAAGAATTAAAATTCGAATAAATAAAGATAAATACCGATATAATTTATATTATATTTTAAAATATTTAATAATTGTCAACAATTTATTTTATTTAATTCGAGAAAAAAGAGGCAAACAAATTTTGTTTTTATTATCTAAAAACTAAACAAAGTAATATCAATAAACGAATTGAATATGATCATTTGACCTATTCAAACGAACAAATAATTATCTTTTTTATGAAATAATATCAAATATATAATATCTTCAATTTATTTTATTTATTTAATCTATTTAATAAATGCTTTAGGATTTAAATAAAATAATTTCAATATATTTTATTGTGAGATAGTATGCAGCACACACATCACATCATTTATATACATTGAATAATAATCTATTGAAATAAGAAATAAATGAAATAATTCGATATTAATATTCTTATTGGATAAATATATTGATCAATGTTAATATTGATATTGTTCTTGATATATTCAATCATTATATAGTGACATCTAGATATCGCTTGATTTTACTATTATCATATATAATAATAGGTAAATAGTGAATAGAATAAATGCATCTATCTATATATATTGATTTGAAAGGGTTTATTTAATGGATTGATAATCTGTAGAAGTTGATACTCAACATGATTAGTCAAGTGATGAGACATAACTAGTACCTACACTTACACTTACACTTACACTTTAGATTTTTATTTTCATTATTTGTCTAGACAAATAACTTATCATAACATTGAAAAATATTCACACGTATTTTTATTTTTAGTCCATTTGTATAAACAATATTGAGAAAAGAAAAGCAAAACAATATGAATACAATCAACAAATTAAATTGACTTTAATTATTTTAAATTCTAATCAAGATAAATAAAATTCTCTTTAAATAATAATTAAATTAATTTTATCTTAAATTGTTATTCGATGATTTTATGTCTATTAGAACCTTTGCTTTTATTCTCTATAGGATTATATTTAGAGGACATTTATCTACTATCATCATTTAATACTATATATATATCAATCATTTTCTTTTTCTCTCTTCATCGAATAGAATCAATATAGAATAAAAATAAAAGACTAATCTTTTCATTTCTCTTTAAAGATAAATAAGATCGATATATATAGACATTATAACAAATATTGTTTATCTGATTGAATATGATATATTTACAGATATTATTCATTAACAAAACAATTATTTAATTATTAAAATAAAGCAGAACATTTTTACTTAACATCTTTATTTATTTATTATTAATTATATTGTTTTATCATTTTATTTAAATAGTTTAATTAAAATCAATTTGACATTTTAATTTATTTATTTATTTAAGATAAACTTAATTATTTCAATATAAATACGATAAATATATCGATATATTGATATAAATTGAATTTACACTCGTTTTATCTTAAATATATAAATAATAAAAGGGACGACACCTGTGATATGGACACAAACTTTCTTTTATTCTTTGACAGGTCACGCGAACAACAATTATTACATCACGATATAACTATAGTTAATTCATTTCAATTGACTTTTCTTTTCATCCGTTTTTTTTTTTTTGCTTTTTATCTTTGATGATGAAAAGAGGACAGAATGATTAGTTTGTCAATAGAATAATAAAGGTACGATAAGAATAAGTTGAATTGTTATATTAAAGATGATTATAATCGATATTCATGGTAGTGACCATATGCTATAATCATTTATTATATTCATTTATATTAATTCACAGTTTATAGAAGATTATATTTATACTTATTCATACCTTATTTATTATTTAACAATTTATTCTTCAGACTTTTTCTTTTCTAAAAAAGAATTCGATTCAAGAATAAACGTCATTAATTCATATTCTCGATTGTTTGGTTGTTTGTTTTTTTTCATGTTGAATAAAGAAAAGAAAAAAGAAAAGAAAAGAAAAGAAAAGTGTTCAATAGAATAGAATAAAGACACGAATAAACAAAAAAAAGAAAAAAAAAGCAAAAAAAAGAAAGATACAACATAAAGAGTCAATATATAAAGATAAGTTGATGTTCACTGTATATACCGGCGATTGTTAAATAGGATGATTTATTTATATTTATATTTATATTGGAATGAGAATATCTGACACTCGTATATGAGTGATTTCAACAATCATTTGAAAGGTTTAAATGCACCAACTATTGTTTGACCTTTTTCTAATTAAAATAATAAATTAAAAAAACTACATTGAATATTTATTTAAAAAAAGAAGAAAAAAACCTTGTGATGATGTTGGAGATGAACATGTTGATGATGATGATATTGAATAAGATCTTGTTTGTTGTTGTTGTTGTTGTTGTTGTTGTTTTTCAATATAAGTTTCATTTATTTTATTATAATGATTATGATTTTTTTCTGCCATATCTGCAAGTGACCAAATTCCACAACGTTTTTTTCTTTCTCCATTTTCATCTTCATCAAATTTTCTTTTTCGATTTGTTTCATCTGGTTTTTTAGAAAAACAAAAACAATTTTGTTTTTATATTTAACATAAATAAATAAATGAAACCTCTATGAAGATTTTCTTCTTGAATATGATGATGTTGAAGAACAGTTAATGGTGATGATAAATAATTAATATTTGGTATAAAACATGTTTGTCCTGTTGATGTTGCTACAATTGGTGTTGTTGTGTTTGTTGTTGTTGTTGTTGTTGTTGTTGATGATGATGGATTAGTTGTTGTTTGTATTGGTGGACAAGTTGATTCATCATCACTAAGATCACTATTTGATCCATTAACATGTCTATCATCATCATCATCAGTTGTTCTTTTAAATAAAATAAGTTTTTAGAAAAAGAAACAAAAAAAAAAGTGTCCAACCTATTTCTTGGTGACCAAGTCATTTTATTTTCTTTTTTTAATCTTCTTCTAGCATTAGCAAACCAAGTTGAAACTTGTGTTAATGTCATTTTCGTCATAATAGCTAAATAAACTTTTTCTGATTTGGTTGGATATGGATTTTTTCTATGTTCATATAACCATGCTTTTAATGTTGCTGTTGTTTCTCTAGTTGCATTTTTTCTTCTACCAGCTAAATCCATGTGAGGAGAATAACTAAATAGAAATAAAACATGAGAAATGTTCTCAATTTCTAATGTGTCTCTTCGGAAAAATGATCGTCATATGATCATTTTCTATGCATCAGTTATAAAAAAGAAATAGATATGCATCGTTTAGAGACTATAACATTCACTTCATTAGACTCGAGGCGATTCATATTCTTCTTATTCTTATTCTTTTATCTAAGTGATTCCATTTAGTTTCCTAATAGAATTCATTTAATATATATATATATATCTATTTTAAGAAAATTAAAACAAAAAAAAATCAGAACAATGAAAATTTATTTGATTAAATAATATAAGCAGATGGAAGAAAAAAAGAAAGTTATTTTATGTTAATGGACATTAGTTTATAATCCTTTATTTATTTATATATTTTAGAATATAATAAAGTAAAGTAACATACCCAGCTGCATAAGGAGCATAACCAACTAAAGCAACAGCTGTTGCTGCATCATATACATATGGATTTGAATATGGATTACGCCATGGATTACCATTTATTAAACTATTACAATCTTGATTCAATCCAATAACATTTACATTTGAATCCTTTTTGTTTTATTTAAATAAAAAACGAAAATTTTGTTTTTTTTTATTTTTTAAAATAATTCTATTTTATTTTAATATAATTACTTTAATTGATGAATATGGATTTGAATCTGATGTATTAATACCAGCTATCCTATTTATATATTCAATAGATTTCAACATCTTTAGTTTTTCTCGGGTTTTTTTTTGTTTCTTTTTCTTTTTTTTTCAATAATAGAAATCAAACTTACATTATCAATATAATAATAATTATTATTTGAAGAAAAAAAGAAAAAAACGAAGAAAGAAAGAAACAATCTTAAGTAAAGAAAAAACAAACGAAGAAATTAGTTTGATATGCAAACATTATTTTGCAAGTGTTACGACAAGAATGCGAACAGTCGCCTTTCTCTTTCTTTCCTAGTTACCAATATTAATATATTGTTAAACGAATCGGCATTAGAAGAAAACGGAATATAGAGATCGAGAGGCTCACTGAATAAAATGCAAAACGAGAGAGAGAGACATTGAGAGAGAAAAAACACACTCGTCTGTTAGTTTGTCAGACACGATCGTTACTCTCTCTTCTATCTGCTATTTGTCGATGAATTCAACGAAGAAAAAAATCCGATTGGTTGACAAGTCGTGTGCCACTGCAACAAGACACGATGTTTTACATTCTTGTTCGAGTAGCTTGTTAACAACGCCAACGGGTGGAAGACAGAACAACTAAACTACTCTTTTACTCATTGGATGAAGAAAATAAAACGAGAAGAGAAAAAAAAAAAAAAAGAAACGGCGACCATCACAAATACATTTATTACTAGAAAAAAAAAACGAAGAAGAAAAGAAGAAGCAAAAGAAAAGAAACAAATATATATTTCTTGAGTAAGGGCAAACACTACTCTACTATGAAAAGAATACTGCCCTAAGTAAATGATCGAGTCATTGACGGAGAATCTTCGTCTACTCTTAAATCAACATCGAAGAAAACGGCGTCAATAGATTATTTTAGTTTTTAGTTTTTTTTTTTTCAATAAGCAAACATATTATTTGTTTATCAATATAGATTGTATAATTGACTTTATCCAATCTAATAATTAGACGAATAGAATTTCACTTTTATAGAACAATAAAAAAACAAAACAAAACAAAAAAAAAAGAAACATAAATGTTAATTAAATAATATTTACTTAAAAAAGGAAACATAAATAAAAATGATGTTTAACTAAAACAAATCGAATAGTGAATTCATTTTCCGTAATTAGTGTAATTATAAAAAGAAAAAAAGTGAATGTCTCTTGTTTAATTACAAATGATAGAAAAAGAGAAAAAAAAAATGATTGATGAGACAAGCAATGTGCATTTTCTTCCGGTAGTTTTATATTGTAGAATAGCTTATCTTGTTTTACATAATCATTTCAGAAGGAGATAAGTACCTTTCAACACTTTCACAAATGCCGGAAACTTATTTTCTTTTTCTTTTTCTTTTTCTCTTTCTTTTTCTTTTTTTTCATTCTAAATTAGAAATATGTTTTAATGAAAAAGACTAAGAATGAAGTTGACCAACGATAATTGACACTTATGTCTTGATTGAATTGATAATATTTATATTTGATGATAATCAAAGAAATCGAACCGTCGATACTCGACTTAAAAACAAAGAAAAAGATTCTTCAACTTAAATATACTTTGTTCTCTTGTTAATAAGATCATAGACGTATGAATTAACTCTAGAGACATTTATTTAGTCCAAAGTCAATAAACCGATATATATATATATATATAGATTAATATAGAAATATCTCAGTTAGTTCCGGAATAAATCCAATAGAATGGAATGCCGTGTCCGACGAGAAGTGGACGCATGAACAAATTAACTAAAGTGTGTCAGCGCATGATCGGGCTTTTCCGTTCATCTTTTTTTTTTTTTTTTTTTACTTTATCATATTTCCTTTGACCTCTATTCAATATTGAACCAATCGTTATTTATTGAGAATATGTTTTTTTTTTGTTGTTGTTGTTGTTGTCAATATATATAAATGATCAATGAAAATAATGAGCATACTTTTTATAAAAAGAGACAAAAAAAAAGAAACTAAGAAGGAAAAGTTTTGATTGTTTATAATCCTACTTGACGGCACAAAGGTGTTTTTCTATTGATGATTATTGAGTGTCTATAAACAAAAGCAATGAGAATAGATTGACCACTTTCTTCTCAATTCTTACAATTAGCGTGATAAGAATCTATTCATCTGATCTGATCTGATCTGATCTGATATAAACTAGTCAGTAGTCAAATAGAGAATTGTTTCTAGTCGGACGGCGTCTGTCGTTAATAAGCAAAGTGTAGATCAACTTCCGAATGATGATGATCATCATCTGCGCCATCAAATCTTTGTTCTTATCGTTCGTTTTCCCATATGTCACTCTCTCTCTCTCTCTCTCTCTCTCTTTCCATCTTTCTCTTTCTCTTTCCAATCATAGAAATAAGAAAGACATATCCGTTGCCGACACATTTATCCAACAATATTCTATAATTTATCATAAATATCGAACATTTCATTATGCTTTTAGTCAAATATAATAATCGATCAATTGTCGAGTTAAATAATACATTGTCTTTCATTTATTTATTCTTATATATATATATATATTTACCTTTAAGCAATAATCAATTAACAGTTGATTGTTACAAGATACCTCTGTGTGTTTTTTGAATAAATAAAGTCAATTGAGATAAAAATATATTTATTTGAATATGTTTAAATATAAATATAAATAAAAAGTAGCTAATAATGATAGACGAATGTCTATCAATATGATAAATGTGTGTTTTTGTTAAAAATGATCTTATTGAATAATCTTTTAAATAAAGAATGAAGAAAAAGTAAGGTTGGTATTGTATCAATTATGATAAATAATTGTCTAATTATCTTTGCTTTAAAACAGTAACCATATGTGTTCATATCGATTTCTTTATTTCTATAGACATTTCATCACTGATCGACTAATGATTAGTTACCCGTTTTTTTTCTCCTATCGACAATATCAACAGACAATTGCCAGTTTTTTTTTTTTCTTTTAATGATCTAAACAATCAATTTTTCTTCTTTTATTTTCTTATTTTCGTAAATATAATAATGAAGATATTTTAGGGTATTATCTATTCAATTAAATATATTTACTGATTATTTATCGATTTAATTTATTTCAAATCTTAGCAAAAAACAAAATTTTGTGTTTCGGTTTGTTCAATATATTTATTATAAATAATTGTTTATTATCGAAAATAATAATTATATTTCGAATGGGTTTGTTAAAAATATCTATGTTAATGTTCATAAAATATTGATAATAATCATATATATATATATGTCGTGTCGAAGTTTGTTTTTTTTTTAACATTTACCTAAATATATATGATAAAAAAGTGAATATAATTGTATTGAAGTCTGCATTGAAACTATTCATTTGAGATAAACAATATTCGTAACTATATTTATAAATATTTATTTCGAAATAAATTATATTGTGTTACTAATATAGTTGAGTTTCCTACTAATTTAGAGTAGTTGAAATGTTTTAAAGAATCTAAAAAGGAAAAAATTTAAATGATATAACCAGTGACAAACTTAAATTGATAGGAAATTAAAAAATCGACTCATCATAAATCGAATAATATCATTATTAGACTTATTAATATAAGTTTCATCTCTCTCTCTCTCAATATATAACATAATTAAATAGTTTTTTTTAATTATTGTCAAATAAAACGTATATATATATAAGTGTTTGATTTGTTCTTCTATATATATAAATATGTTAATAATAATCAATAATTAAAATAAAATAAAAATCGATTATAGATAAGAGATAATATTTATTAATTAACACAAAATAATTAAATGATGAGAAATTTAATAAAAACTAAAGACGATAATAAATATTATAATCGGAATTCGATAAGAATTTAAAGAAAAAAAAAAAAAAAAAAAATCTAAATAAATTTGATTGATGAAGAAAAAAAAAAAAGAATAAAATAAATTTATTCTTTATAAATAAAAAAAATAATAATAAGAATAAAAATATTTTTTTTAAATAAATATTCTTGTAAAAAAGTATCATATTTATTATCTAATAAAGATCTTGATGCAATTATAATTGATTGATCAATATGTTGTTCAATATAAAATTGTACTATTATTCGATATCTTTTCGTTAATTTTTTAAAAAAATCTTTTATTTCTTCACATAATGTTAAACAATTTATTTTCCATTTGGTATTATCATATAAATAATCATTTATATATTGATTTAATAAATTATTAATATATTGAGAATATTCTTTTGTATATTCAAATTTATTTTCATATATATATGAACTTTTATTATTAACACTTTTATTAATTATACTTGTTGGATACAATTGATTTTTAATATCATATCGACCAATTAATCTATTTACTTCTATTTAATATATTAATAAATAAATAAATAGAACAATAATAATAATAAAATTTTACCATTAGATTTGTCAATATTTGAATAATTAATAAAATTAGTTAAATCATATTGAGGAATTTTTTCCGATAAATCCAATAGAATATTTTCTTTTTGAGAATATTTTCCTAAAGATTTTTTCTCTTAATAGAATTTATTTTATTTATTTATTTGTTAATTTAAGTTTTATTTAAAATAATATATTATATTCATCGAGATTTTTTTTCTTAAATTATTCTTTAATTAATTAGTAGAAATATTTAAATTAAATAAATATTTCTATATAGTTTTCTAATAGATTTAATTCATTTAAACATATTAACTAATTTTTATATTCTCTCCAAGATGACTCTTACATTTATTAACTTATTTATTTAATAATATTTATAAATATATTCTATATTAATAAAAAGATTATTTTAATATAACGAAAATCAATATTCAATATATTAATATATAATATTATCTTTTCGTTAATATTTATTTATTAATAAACAATCGAATAATTAATTTCGACATATTATTCAATATTAAAAATAATATCAATATCCTTATAGATAACTAAAAGAATCTTTCTATTTAATTGAATTATTCTTAATTAATTCTATGATATAGTTTATCTTAAATTAATCTTAACATATCGATTATTAATATATATTAAACAAAATATTCTATTGACA